TCTCTCCCCATCCATCTCAATCCGCACTGTGTTCCGGTGATTACGAGATACTTTATGTTCAGTTATTCGCCGAGCTTGGCAATTGCAAAACAATTAAACATCAAGCTATACGATCAGAGCTGCAAAAACTACAAACAACACCGGTGTTTGCACGACTGCCATTATGAGAGACTGTTCCACTAGAGCCAAAAGGCTATGTTTGATAATTGCTTCCAATGTGCCGCAAACCCCTAGCCGACAGGTTTATCCATAATTGCAGCAAAGTATATTGCTCGGTAGGAGACAGGAAATTAAAGGAACCGATATTGCGAACAATGCATGATAGGCGAGAGAGAGAGAGAGAAATACGGAAATAAACCACTCAAGCATTGAGGTATTCCCTGAGCCTTCCCCAGGTCTGTCTCTATATATATCACGCCANGATAAAAAGTTTGAAGATTTCGGAATAGCCAACGAATAAATAGAATCACTCAAGAACGGTCAGTGAGACCGAAGGTCAGATACTAATCAAAATGAACGTCCCATGGTGATCTGCAATTCAACTGATACGATCGCTAATGCGGTGCAGCCCGAAGAGGGCGTGCGTCAATCGGCAATTGGAATCCGTGGACATAGAGAGAAATANNNAGAAATAATTGGCTTGAACATAGGCACCAACCGATCGTAATGCGATTGATGAGTCACGGACTGAGACGATATCGGACGTCACGTGAAATGATGATGCTTTTGTGTATGAAGTCTAAATGCGCTAGAACTACTGCGTATGATACAAGCATTTTTGTATCAAATGATCATAATTATCGGTTTGCTTAGGACAAGTACACCACCTAAGGACGTGATTGATCCCGAAATTCCATTTGATCAATCCAACAAATACTTTCAGTTAAGCAAGACAGATCACAGTACAATCCGCCATGTATCAAATTGAATCAATTGTCCGTTTACTAATCAGGTGGCTCTGTCAGACTCCTCTTGTGAATACCCCAGGAAAATTCACCTGCTTCGGTCTGAGCAACCTGGAGGTAAGTATTCAACCCATGAACAAATCATGAACTGAAATCTTTGATATGAACATTGTTGTAGCATAATTTGTTTATTACACAGTTTGCATCTCATCAGGATTTTATAGCTACTTCTGAATCTTTAGCTAGAGTTTTCTGGTATAACGCCCGTTTTTTCTCATTTGTAGGCGTGGTAGTTCATCCGGGGAGCGCAGTGACCTTCGGATTAAGCGATTGACAGGTGTCAGTAGAACTCAGCCTAACCACTGAAAATGGATCATGGATTACCTAATAGGAATAAGAAGACAGTCCTTTGAGGAACGCGCGGAATACGCGGTTTACAGCTTCACTGTTTGCCCATGGCTTTCACCAAAGATGAGCGAGACTGAAAACATAGTGATATTATACTTTGCATATTTCACACAAGTCTGAGCCCAGACTGTACCAAAGAAATCACGGCACAATAATCCTTATAAAAAAGAGCAAGTTCCACGATCTTTTTGTGGATGGAATACTGCCAGGTTGGCCAGGCAGGCGCAGGCGAATTTTCTTGGGTAATCGACGACTAGAGCCACTGACTAGCCAAAGCCAGACCTGCAAGTCAGCAGAGTGGTGTGTGAAAAGCGCAATCCATTGGCGGTCAGTGTCCAGTCTATCGGAGTATACGCCCTTTGGACGGGGTCAAACGTCCAAGGTGCTCAATGCACCTCGATGCCCAATCAAGCCGACGACTACTGCCAAAACCACGGGGTGGGTGTGTATGGTTCGTATACCTTTTGTTGGCTAGCTTGAAATCAGGGGTTTTAGCCAACTCCCTTAGACGAACTGATAGTGGTTCACCAACCCGGTTATAGCCCCGGATGTTGGCTTTTCTCGTTTTGATGAGAAAACACCGCCGTGAGAAGGCAATTAGGTAGTAACCTATCCACTGTTCGGATTAAGAGCATTTCATTGCAGTGAGGAAGCTTGTCCACGAGCCAAAAATTTCGTAATTATATCGGTACACCTTGTACGGGCGAGAAACACTATTTTCTTTGTTAAATGAATGTCGAAGAATTTCGAAGTTATCTTATCCTCTAAAAACAAGGATTCTTAAGCAAAAACGTCGTCGAGCTCATCGATTTCCCGTTAATTTAGTGAATCTATACATGGTACGCCTACACATGACGTATGCGCCAACCGATATCGTAGGGTGAGTACGACGTAGAAAGTTGCATTTGAAATCACGAGACACTAACGCTGTCAGTGAGCGGTAAAAAGTTGCTTTAATATGTTCAATCATTTAACTGTCGATCTAAACATGAAGGACTGAAAACCTTCGAAACAAAATCAGTGAGATCGAATAAATCACACATCATGATGAGTGGCGTAGCAATGCTTAGAGCATATCGGAACTTAATTGAAAATTAGCGTTATTTCATCTTTTTCTACTCCTACCTCATGCGATATCATATTACATAGTGCAACTCCTCGGCCCGATCAATACAAGGACGTAATATGTTGTGATATTAGTCGTCAGCATTAGCCATAACAACAATCGTTCGGCATTGTGTCTACTCAAGGAACAAACATCAGCAACACCAAAGGTGGAAGTACCGGAGATGGTGAGATTCGAATTTGTAATCGAACGAACCAGTGGGCANCCAATAATAGTTACTCAACCGTTCGCTCGTTGACACAATGACAGCGTCGTATTATGATTCAAACTTGAAGAAACTCTACCACGTTCGGTTGCATGATTTGGGAAATGAATTTCACCAAAAGGGACAAGTAATGCACGATGTTAATGAATTATTCGTATGGCCTGAGTGGTCCAATAGATGGAGAGAAGTAGATGATTATACATCCCGAAACAGGAAATAAAGTTATCTAAATTTTCGAATCACGATTTTNCTCTTTCCATATAAAGATCCATCAGTAGATTGCGTTATATATTTCCTCTTTCAACGTATCTCAAAAAGACTTGAGTAGAATAAAACCATGGAGTATCATTTATAAACCACAATTTTAAGAAGCAGGTCAGTGTTCGTCAGAGAGAATCTTTGGTTGAAAGCCGAAGAATCACTGGGGCGTAGAAAATGCATGACGTGGGTTGCACATTCGAGGTACGGCAGGGAACCCAAACACGCATGTGATGACACAACAAACTCCTAGTTTTGTTCCATGTATGTCCCTATCGCCTGTTTTATTGTTGTTAGGTTGGCACTATGGTTGTTCGCAAGCTGGTTCGCGTTTCTCGTTGCTTGTCAGGCATGTGTATCCGGTGATCTTTTGTCACTTTATCCATATACTTGTACCAAAGAAGTATAGTCTTTTTACAATAACTTCATTTGCAACACCAGATTAATTTGTTTGGACAGCTATTTCAGAACCAGTTGACTGACGAATATATATATATATATATATATATATATATACAAAATAATCAGGATTTTCTTACCCTCGTGCCAGATTTTAGTTAGACCACTTTCTCTAACATAGTGATAAAACGAGATTCAGTGTAGTGACTAAAGGGAACATACAGATTTTGATGCAGCCTAACGGAGGGGAATCAAAGCTGCTCAAGCTAAATGAATATCAATCACTCGCGTCAATGGAAAACCAACAAATGACACTGGCACATGTATATTATGAGTTCATGCCAAAATTCAGCTATAAAGGCTGCCTGCGTCTGGCACACTGAAAACCTGGTCGTTTGTATCAACACTGTGTCACGGTAAACTATGCATCACTTGCCTCCAAAAAGGAAGAGGAACCAGCTCCGTGCCGAGTCCAAACGGAAGCACACAGAGGCGTGAGATTAATATAATAGAATAACGATACCAAAGGAACTTACTCGAACTTTGATGTGTTTTGATACGAACGCATCGTTCACGAAGAAAACATCATTCTGTTCGATCTCCCGAGTTTTCGGTTCCTTACACAAAATGCGTTGATTGGAACGACCCAGGGCCAAAGCCATCAGGCTTCGTTTAAGTTCCCGTTCGGGAATGTTGGTTTCACTGCCCAGCTCGGCGAATGTGTAACGATTACGACGATTGAATTTCATAAGGATTTCCATTTGATACGTGGATACCTTAAGTGAAAAAGAAGAGAACGCTTCCAAATTGGTTTAATCCGTATTATTTTAGAATTACAGGCATATATATACATACCTATTGTTGTCGCTAGGATGCTGATAGTATGTTGTTTAACTTCTAATGTTTCGTTGCTACGGTCAGTAACATATCGCACAGAAACATAAGCAAATTTTATCGAATCTGGAAACAAAACGCTTCGAAGCTAATCAACAGACCGGTTGTGTATGGGGGAACAACGTAATCACGAAGAGAAATTTTATAACCCTTTATTTATCGCCGGTTTTTCTGCTGGCTTTCTTCATGGTGATGATCAGCTAAGCTCAAGCAAGAATCCATGAATAATCCTCGAAATGGTATAACGTTACATCCTTAGTAACCCTCGAATGTTTTCTACGTGGGTGCATCTCTTACCATTGAGCAGTCAAGTGCTACCTGTGTAGTAGGAGAGTTCCATCACGACGAGACTGTACTTTAACGTGGTGTGATGGCCTGCGTGCCTCCATGCCCCTGCAAGCTACACAGGATGGCTTTTCACAGCCGGAGATCCAATCATGCCTAAAAAGTCAATGAGTAGAGGCCAGACGAAGCTCAGCCGCTTGGGCACCCCTGGATTCCATGGACTATCCACTCCCGCCCCTGGAGAGGTCACTCCAGCAAATAAACACGGTGAGGGGCAGTTTACCTGACAAAAAACGCTAGATTAGCGTAGCAGTTGGGCACCTGGGGCTTCCTCTCGAGGGTTGGAGAAGTCTTCGCACTTCATTGGACAGCTACTGCCCGTCCAAGTTGGGCAGCCCCTAACCAATAAGGTGCTATCCCGTACAGATTCGGCTTGTCTCATCGAGTGCATGAGAGTAAGGGCCAATCCCGAAGAGTGGACCGATAATCAACGCATCAGTGAACAGAAAACTGAACCGAAATCCGAAGGTCGTGCGTGACAGATCTCTAGGAGTTCCCACACAGGTGCTTCGGTCACGCTCCCGCTTTGCATTTACGCCCCAATGCTTTCTGGGTCAGACTTTTAAGTCGAAGCCATCGGTTAGGGGCCCGAAGAAAAAAGCCCTCGTCGGTGTGGGCTGTCATGAAGTATACCGTGCCCTTAAGTCTTAGACACCCATTTAGAAAACACCTTTTCCCATATTTCTAGTTCATCATCTTAATCCCAAATAATCCTAATTAGATGCCTCCATCACGACGAGACTGCACCTTGACGCGGTGTGATGGCTTGCGTGCCTCCATGACCC